TCCCCGCCATGGCAAATTTAGATGTTTTTCACGATGTGTTTTGACATGAAACTAACATACACTATTTGCCATGACAATTTGGACTTCTATTCACACGCCAATTAGCACTTGCCATGGCAATTTTTAAGATATGTTGCCATGGCAAGCTTAGATGATTTTTACGGTGTGTTTTGACATGAAACTAAAATACACTTTTTTGCCATGGCAATCTGTAGTTCTATTCACACGCCAACGAATACTTGCCATGGCAAATTTTAAGATATGTTGCCATGGAAAGTTTAGATTTTTTTACGGTGTGTTTTCTCATGAAAGTAAAAGAACACTTTTTACTGTGGCAATTTAAGATGTGTTTTGCCATGGCAATTTGGAGTTCTATTCACACGCCAATTTAACACTTGCCATGGCAATTAAGATATGTTGCCATGGCAAGTTTAGATGCTTTTTACGGTGTGTTTTGACATGAAACCACAATATATATTTTTGCCAATTTAAGATGCGTTTTTGCCATGACAAATTAAGTTGTGTTTCCCAGGCAAGTTATGAGCCTTTCACATGCCATATAATACTTGCCATGGCAAGTTTAAGATGCGTTGGCATGGCAAGTTCAAATATTATTTTCCCACATTCCTATTAGAAGACCATGACATTTTTTATTTTTTCGCCAATGCAAATTTTATTTCCTAACCATGGCGAATTTATTTCTATGACCATGGCATTTTTATTGTTTGAACCATGGGAACATTTTTTGTTAATCATGGCAACTTTATTGTTTGCACCATGGCGTTTTTTCTTTTTCAACCAGGGAAGTTATTTATTTTTGTGTGGACCATGGGTGCTTTTTTTTATTCCAGACCATGGCAAAATTATATCATGGACCATGGCAAAAAAAATCTATAACCATGGAATTTTTATTGTTTCGACCTTGGTAAATTCATATTTCATACATGGCAAAAAAATTATGAACCATGCCAACTTTATTGTTTGCACCATGGTAGATTTCTTTTCAACCATGGCAATTATTTTATTTTTGTTTGGACCATGGCTACTTTTTGTAATTTTGAGACCATAGCAAAATTATATCATGTGCCATTGCAAATTTACTTCCTGCAACCATGGCATTTTTATTGTTTGAACCATGGCAACTATAATAAATTCTGTTTGTTTGTACATTATTTTTTGAAACACAACAATTTTTTTGAATAAAGCATGGTAATTTCTTTTTGTATACCAAGGCAATTTACATGGACATCACATGCCAAATATTTTTTTCATCAAGTTCTGATACATTTGAACATGATGGCAGTTATTACATATTCTGATATATTTTTTCAAAAATAATTGTAACAAAAATCAAGTCCAAGTTCCAGGTTTAATAAGGCTTGAAAGTAGCCAAGAAGAAATTGAGCCTTTTTATATCTTTTTTTTTTTGGAATAATGATGGCGTTTGGTTGAGGGGAGGCCCATTTAAAAAGGCCCGTAGTGCAACAGGGTTCACACTGGGGTGTTCTCTCCCACCAAACGGAATTGTTTTTCTAAAAAAAAAGCAAATGAAATTGTTCGATGGATTGCTTTCCCTTAGCGAATGACTCGTTCGGGATGGGAGTCTCCCAACAGTCCGGAGTTATTGGGGTCCTAAATCAAATATGTTTACCTCTCAAAAACCCTGTACATAGAAACCATGTCATGTCGTACGTCACACAATAGTTACAACTTGAGCATGTACACATATTGTTTTTTTTTGTTTTTGCGAAGAGCACGTACATGTTACACATTGCTTACCAATAACCAGGCATTTCACGAGGCGTTAACAAGTATAGTTTTTTTTAGGTTAAAAAAAACAAGTATAGTTTTTTTTTTGCGGAAACAAGGATAGCTTTCTTTAGAAAGGCTAGCAAGTACGTATAACTGTGCATGCGAGTATTTTTTTTTCTTTTTGATTTTTTAGGGCATTTTTTCTTTTCGATGATGAGGCTTATGTTTTTTGTAGATTTGGCTTATGGAGTTTTTTTTCTCGATGATGATGTTGGCTTATGAAGTATGTGTGACGGACTGACAAGAAGGGGCGGAACGATAGAAGCCCACGAGACTATCTGCTAACTTTGGGCCGCATCAAAGAAAGAAGCCCAACAAGCTCTTTGCTTGGCGCACTGGAGGACCTGACGTTGGCTTCTGGGCGCTGTGGAGGGAGCAACAGACACAACGTTTAGTCCCACCTTGCGCAGCGAGTGAACAAATGACTAGCTTATAAGCAAATGTTTAGAGCATCTCCAATAGCCGCGCTGAAAATTTTGAGTTTTTAGCGCGCGCGCAACCGCTCTGGGAGCTCCAGTGGAGACGTAATAACCGCGCGCGTGGCACAAGTAGTTCAGCGCGCGGTTCGAAACGCCATTGCATGCCGTTTGTTTGCAGCGTCCGCTCCCACGAGCTGCACTCGGACGCCGGCGCCGCTTTCGTCCTGCCTGCACCGCCGCTGGCGAATTCGCCCGATGGACGGACTCCCCGACATCCCCCTCCGTCGCCGCCGCAAACCCTAGTGCGGGAAGCTTTGGCTTCGCCTCTGTCAGTGCTCCTCCAAGCACCGATATCACTCGTGGCCTTTCCATGCCGCCACGGACGACCTCGGCGGCGGGTGGCGCCGCGCCGGCGCCTGCCGTGAAGCCGCGTGCCCCCCTCTCGAAGCAACCAAATGCGGCGCGGGCGGACGGCTCCTCTAGGCAGCCGAAGAAGAAGCCTGCAGGGCGTGACGCGG